CTGCTTCTCCCTCTGACCCTCCTCCCTCTCATTCTGTCTCAAATAAATAAATAAAAACTTTAAAAAAAAAAAGAAAAATTTTCCTAAATTTTCTTCTAAAAGACAAAATTAAAATAATTTACAAATAAATAACTCCCCATAGGTTGTCAGTTGTTAAATGTTTTTAAAATATTAAAAATGAATTTCACACACAATTAATATGTTAAGCAATGTTTATAAAATCTTCCACTGTTCTGTTTCCGAAGTCTCTGAACAGCCATCAGAAGAGAAAAGAATGAAATGTTATAATTTGTACATAATAATGGCTACTACTCATTGATCACTTACTGTGTGCTAGGCACTGTGTTGAGTGCCTTATATTCATAGTGTCATTTAATTCTTATTTCTACTCCATTACATACTGTTATTATACCCATACTACAGATAAGAAAATATTCTTCCTATAAACAGTTTAAACCTTAATTATTCATCAAGACATTTCCCAATTGAAAGGATGACTGCTGAATAACATGTAATAAGAAAGCAAGAAAGCAGATCATGATTGGTAGTTTTTCTTAAAGTGCCAACAATGGAGGAAGATGTGACTGAGAATTAAGAACAATCTCGGGGTGAGAGTATATAATCATGATGCTTACTAACGTAAAAAAGAGTTTTAAATTTTTTCACTTTTTAAAAAAATTAATGTTTGCTTTTTCTTTTCAATGAGGACAAAAGTAATCAGTAAAAGCACTGGATAGCAAGAAATGCCATGGTCTTACATTAGTTGTTGCTAAACGGAAAGGTGAGGTGAAACCAGTTTTTTTCTTCTTAAGGTGATTTCAATAAATAGTCTCAAATGCCTTCTAGGCTCTAGCATGTATATTTATTGTAGGTAGTGGATAAATACCCTTTTGTGCCCACCCTGCTAACGACCCTATCCTTATTGTACACATGACTGAAAAAAAGCTGTAAAAAGGCACTAGTATTCCATCTTATCAGATCTTTGGGCAGACAGTTAACTAATGAAATAAGAGGCAGATGTGAAAAGCTCATTTAAGAGACAATTGCTGTAATTGATCAGCAATTCTCATGCTCAGGAGCTAGAGAGTCAAAAAGATTAATGGGACATTTATCACCTGTTGGCTACTCAACTATTTGAAATTCTGACAAAGAAAAACTAAGGAAAAGGCCAAAGGACTATGCATAGCAAAAGAATCATAATTATGATTTGTACTCTATATCAATTTAGATTTTAGACTGCAAGCTGAATAAAGGATGACTATATAAAGAATTACTCACCATATATTTATTCTGTGTATTAGAATTTTTTAAATACATAACAACTTAAAGTAAAAATTAGGAAAAACATGCAATTGCATTAATTTCTCACAGACTGATATTTTAAATGAACTTCTAAAAAACTCCTATGTAACAAGAATGTTCATAATTTTTACAAATTGTACCACACAGAAAATATAAACAAATGTTCCATCAATGTTTTGTTCAAAGGACATGACAACAATTAACAAGGAGAGCAAAATTGCAATTTGCAAACAGTATGGCCATTGTGATTTCAACTTCATAGATCCACACACTATATTAGTATGTTTTGCCTAATTAGCTTTAAACAGAATGAACTAATGGATTCTCCTTAAAAAGAAAAAAAAATCTAACCTTGACAATGAGAACACAAGCAGGGGCAATTCTGGAAGCCTTATCAACTTCCAAATATTACACAATCACTTTGGTTGGAAGTATTTCTAGGTGTTAACAAAAGTATTATTAAAACAAGTATGCAAACTCCAATGCTTTTTGTTAGAGATACTAAAAATACAAGCAATGTCTGATGATATTCTATTCTTGCACACTTTCTAAATAAAGAAGTCTCCATATCTGAAGGTTTAAGATGTAGGAATAAACATGGTTTTGTATTAACTTTAATCATTAGCTCAAGAAAGCCACATTTATCTAGTGATGCTATAAATACTCAAGCTATATAAGCATAAGGCAAATATTTTATAAGTGCGTATTTCAAACAGGTTGATTTTATCCTTTTTGTATCTGGCAAGAAATTCATAATCAAATCAACTCATTTGGCATCTACTCATATGAGCAAAGTATAGTGTTAGCACTGAGGAATTTATAGTAATGGATAAGACATTATCTACACCTTCCTATGTGCTCCATGTTTTAATTCAAATCTAAGATTATCTAACATTTACCTGGGGCTTTATCATTTACAAATCATTTTTATGTATGCTATCTCATTTGATTTTCTTAATAACTCTTTGAGTTAGTTATTATTACCTCATATGATAGAAAAAATTAAGATTCAGTGACTAGCCCAAGAGGTATCATTCAGTAAGTGGGAGAATTGGAACCCAAATTCAAGTCACCTAACTTGAAAGTTCATTTGATGTTTGCTGCAGAGCTATAAAAATAATTAAATATGAATAGGATGGCAATATGTTTCTATGAGATAAGTCATAATGGTTAATTGCAACTGGGATGATTTTGAGTTTTCTTGGAGAAGGTAGCATGTGTTGGTCAGACATGGGGAAAAAAAGCACTATCTTTAGCAAAAGCACAGAGGGAGAAGGGAACAAAGGAAAAATCTGAAAGACCTTAATTGTTTGGGAGATGGATGAGTAGAATATAGGCGGTATGTGAAAGTGGGATTGAGGGCTATCAAAATTCAAAGATAAATAAAGATCGAAAGCAGTAAAATTATAAATGTTTTTGAAAGAGGAAGAATTTAGTGCAAGTTATAAAATGGGGGAAATGACGCTAAGCCTTAGTATTCTTATTCCATCATCACTTATCCCACCCTGTCAACTGAGAAGTATCCCCCAAAGGAGCTGTACACATTTGCCTCGCTATCAAAAATCTAGTTAGAAGCATCGGTCAGTTAATAGAATATTTTCATCAGCATATATACATTCACCAAAATAAATATTCTGACTAGGAATACTAATCCAATACTTTATACCATACAAGCTACCAGTATAAAATTAACACCTGCAGCGAAGACAATAAATATGTGAGCAAAAGGGGGCTTGTATGTAAAGGAGGTATTCAACAGTGAAGAAAACTATCTAGGAAGAGTTTTTGAATATATTATGAACTGCACTGTTGAAAGATAAGGTCAGCTAACTGAGTGGTTAACATACAAGCACTTGAGAAGATTAATTAGATGGACAAATTTGAGGTGGTCCAGATGCAAAAAGCAAAGAATGAATAGAACCAAGTAAACCATCATCCCAAACACTGGCAGTTCTTTTAGGTTCCCCCCCTACTAGGGGTAAGAAGTCAGTTTTATTTTCACAACGACACTTCCTCACCATAAACAACAAAATAAACCAAACCCCACCAAAACCCACTAAAACGTAAGATGAATATGAAGTTAGAAGTTTGACCTTTGGGACAAAGCTATCCTTCTTAATACAAGGAATACTGCAAGGTACAGTAATGCTGTTTTACTACAGAGCTGTCAGACTCTTCTGAGTCTATCTGTGCATCTGACTTAATGTATCTGTAGAATTCAATCAAGTTAAAAGCCTTTCACAGCTTTAAAATAGTGTAGGGAAAGTCCATCTCTAGCAGGATGTTCCTCACAGTAGGAGGTAAAGGGTGTGAAGCCTTACAGTGATAAGCAAGGAATAATAGTCCCACCAAGAAATCATACTCCAAGCAAGATATCACATGCATAGGGGTGCCAGAGTGGCTCAGTTGGTTAAGTGGCCACCTCTTGGCTTTGGTCAGGTCATGATCCCAGGGTCCTTGGATCTAGCCCAGTTTCCAGCCCCACGCTCAGCAGAGAGTCTGCTTGAGTATTCTCTCTTTCCCTCTGCCCGTCCCCCTGCTCACACACTCTCTCTCTCTCAAATAAATAATAAATAAATCTTAAAAAGAAAGTAAACACACCCATAAGTAGGACTCATCTTCTAAGCAGTGTCAGAATTTTCTTTCAGCAAGGGCCCTCTTCCAAGAGAGGAGACTCACAGACATCTATGACTAGGACAGGGCTCTGAGTACACTCTCATTAAATGCCAATTAAATGAATAAATCTAGAGACCATCATTCACTGAGTAACTTCTGTAGGTGATAGAGGAAAAAAAATAAGATTCTGAGGAAAAAATAAGAGTACTTTTTGGGGGATAAGCCCCCAATTCATTCAAAAAGCATTTATTGAGTGTAATGTCTAATGTGCTAAATACCATGTCAGGTACTAAGTATAAAAAGAAGTGAGGAAAGTGGCACAGCTTTTGTAAACAAATAGCCATGATATAGAATCCTAGGAGATACACAGAGAGCATAAAGTGTTAGAATCGCAGAAAGGTAGTGAGCAACTCTGCTGAGGAGAATTTATAGGGTATGTGATATATCAGTTGGATGCTGTTGAGCTTATCTGGGCA